TCCCTCTGAAGCATCTGGCACTGTCCACTGTTGAAAGACAGGACACTGGGCAAGATGAACCATTGGCCTGGCAAAGTATGGCCGTTCTTATGTTCTTAAGTGATTTACCCATGGTCACACAGGGAGTCAATGGCAGGACTGGGTACGGAATCCATACAGCCTGATTTCCAATCTCCTGCTTTAGCTAATACACAAACTCCCCCCAAGATAAAAATCTCTCACAAATAGCAGTATTTCAGCCTGATGCAATTAGAAATGTCTGAGATATTAAATCTCCTTCTCCACAAATGCTCTGTGACCCAATAAAAGGTGCAGACCATCACAGCAATTATTCTCCAAGAAACAGGGCTGAATTTTTGATAATTTTTCAGTGCCACTGTTCATCACAGAAGTGATTAAGTCTATTCCTTTCCCAAAGGCTGAGCGTAAGCAAGAAATTTGCTGTACCAATGAATTAAATTCAGACCCATTAAATCAGCAGCTATTATAGTGTCTCTAGAGCTGGATGTTTTTCTACCGATAAAAAAAAAACTGCAGGAGAAAATTATGGGAGATTGGTAGAGACTGGAAGATAGGTAGAGACTGATAAACTGCAGCACAGAAAACTGTGATAGGGCTATCTTTAAAAATCGCTGGACTCAGTCTGCATCCAGGTTCACCAGTGTAACTCTGGAAATACACCACTGAAATCAATCTGGTGTGGAGTAGACTTTGGCTGACAGCTTGAAGTGTACTCACTGTATTAAGACTACAAAATAATGAGAATAAAGTAGTAGCATGAGATGCTGATTATTTTAGCACCAGTAGAAAGAGACCATTGTGTTTTTGAATATTTTTCTGTTTTGGTCTAGATTTGATACAGTGAAAATGCATATTAAAAAGAAATAAAAACAGTCCATTTCTTTTTTGCGTATATCAATTTTAAACTTGAGCTTTCTAGTACATTTTGACTCAATATATTTTAAGTATGGAGAAAATGACAACCTTTTATCCCATAAAAAAATCAATTTAGTTCAGCCTTTTGATGTGTCAAAGCTATGTATCTTCACTGAGGAGCCACAGCTGTCAAGAGACTAAATATATCAGAGCTTTAGATTAGGCGTGTCCAAATAGCAAAATAAACCTACCGCAAGTGACAATCCAGAACAGTCATGAGACACAACATAGATAAGGATGACATAGAAGGAAGAAATAAAAATTAAAATATCCACACACAAACATTAGTAGAAACCAAGGAGAAATGACCTTTTTCCACAGATAATATATTCTTTATTCACCTCCTTTACACAAGAAAGGCCTGATCCTGCAACCTTTACTCATGCGATTGGTCTTCCTGGAGCGGATAGCTCTACTTGCATGAATAAGAATTACTCTCATGAGTAAGGGTTTCAAGATCAGTACCCTAATGTGTACTTCAACTATTCTTCCTCGTCACAGCAACATTTATTCAAAATATCATATTAAAATTATGTTAAGGAAAAAGAACATGCTGAAAAATGATGCATCTATCTGAATACTGGATATTACACAATTCAGTGTCTAACAGTTACCAGTGCTAAGGCTAAAGTTCTGACTCTGCAATCAGATCTACTAGCATGGACCCCAATGACCATGCAGAGCCTCATTGGCTTCAGAGGGGCTCTAGGTGTTCACAGGGCTGCTACCAGCAGGATCAGAGCTTAGAGTCAGTGGAATGTTATTGGTTTTAATGACTATTTATTGGAAGAAGAAAAAAAGAAGCTACTTTGAGGGCCCAATCCTTTAGTTCTATCAAGTGGAATAATTCCCAGTGAAGTTAATGGGACTTCTGCATGCACTATGGACTGGAACTTGCAGGCTGCTTATTGCCTACCAAGAGATACTGAGCACTCAACTTCCACTGAAATCAAAGGGAGCTGAAGGCCCTGTGTTGAATCCAGGAGGTGAGCAGAACTTTGCAAGTTAGGGCCTAATGACTACAGGATCAAGCCTTTGTGCTTTGGCAACATTTCAGATTTCTGGCACCATACACAGCCAATTCAATAATTCTTTCCAGGTGGATTAGAGTAAACCTTTTTTATATCTATTTGTCTGTTTGCTTTAAAATGTATCTCCTTGATATCTTGGAGGCACTCTCTTGCCATTTTATTTGTAACCGAGGCGCTAAAATGATTACCTTCTGAAATATATTACATTAAATTTAGCAGTACACTGTCTTCATGTGCTAAAACCTGCGGTGTTGATTCAAGAATAAATCATTAACTGATTGTGCTTACACTGAAAAACAAATGCTGCAAATATGGTCAAGATTTTCCAGATTAGGAATTAATGTTGAGAGGAGCTGCTAGGTACTCAGGGTTTATGAAAATAAGGCCACGGACTTAGATGCCTAAATATGAACCTAAGAGCTTAACTTTAGCAATCCATTTCTGAAAATGTCGGCAAGCAAGGCAGATCCTCGATTGGTGGAAATTGTGATAGCTCCACTAGCCTCAATGGATATGACAATTTCCACCGTCTGAGGATCCAACCCTATATGTTCCTGGTGCATACATTTCTTAACAGACCACTGGTTAAATTCTAAATATATGGACACATTTGTTTTACAATAAATATAAAAACCATTTGAAGATGTTAAGTTCTATATGACTTGAAACTCTATGCTTTTTCGCAAAGTTCTGATTATCTCTGTGACAATGAATTAGTAACTGGAATTTGACCTTTCTTTTCCTCCAAAAAGGGACTGTGTGTCAAACTCATCATTAACTATTAAGCGCAATTTTATATTTTAAATACATGTCAATGCTAGAGTCATTGGTCATTTATCCAGGTCATAACAAGTATAATAAACAACACTTAATAATATACTATAAGTAAAAGAACAGTCTTATATGATATAGAACAAATCTCACACAGATATCTACTGACAAATCTCACATAGATATCTACTACTTGTCCTACAAAGAAATGTTAGGTTTGTTATCATTAGTATCATTTGATAGCACACAAACAAACACACTGCATTTTATCCCCAATATGCTCAAACAGTATTTTCAAATTATTTTTGCTTCCATGGGTAAAAGTTTGCTAAAGTTGGCCAGGACGAACTCAGCATTTAATTAACTGCTTTTTCAGACAATTTCTCAGAGGGAAATACCTGACAATTACTTAATATTAATAAACGAGAACAAATTCTATAGCTCAAACACAGGGAGTCCAAGAATGCCTCCTCAAAGTGCCTGAATCAAGACAGTATAAGAAATTTCTTTCACATTTATCATATTAAGTAAACCAAACTTCTCATTAGACTTTTGCAAGAGAGGATCCAAGTTTTCTGTTCAATAATATTCTGAGCTTCACCTCACTGATCCCTTTAACAGTGGAATTTAACATATTTTGTGGGACTTCTGATGACAGGAAACTATATACAGTGGTCACCATTAAAATGTTGATCCATACAGTCTTAAGGTAATGAGCTTTCCCCACAATATTACTTACTAAGTATAGGGAATGCCTGTAATATCTTGGTAAAGCTAATTGCTTTCAAAAGGTGTGTCCACATTTCAGCGCTAGCCACTGTAAATGAAGAGTCCATTTTCAGTTATGTGCAAACTATGCCTCTAAATTTAGTCAATGGGCCTGCAAATGTAAGGAGTAAGGAAATATTAAAGAGCTCTCTGGCTTGATACTGCATGCTGTAAAGGGCCTGATCCTGCTGCTGCTGAAGTCAACTGTGGAACTTCCACTGACTCCAGGGGTGCAGGATTAGATCCCAAGTGCACAAAGAGTGCCTCTGGATTCTAATCTTCCCCATGCAAAATCTTAATTATTTGCAGAAGTGAAGCTGAAGCACCTACTCCAGCTGAAAAGGTTTTGTCCTGCAGTTCCTTAATTCTCCTGAATCTACATTTGAAAAACATACTTCCGTGTGTGTCCTTAGCTGCTGAAATACTTCCAAATGATCTACACAACAGTGTGATTTTATCCCCACTTATCAACCCTAGCACTAATCAGATAACTAGTGAAGATGTTTCGTTTGTATTTTGCCACCCTGTGTATTTACCTTACATCTGAACTCTTTACCATCCCATCCCACAAGAGAGCCAACACTGTGGAATTTTCCTCTGGTCAAAGTCAGTCTTCTTCCAGATCAATGCTAATCTATTCTGTGGTTCCAAGGGAACATTGGATTAGATGCAGGGTCCTGCAACCTTCCAGTTAGTGCCCAAGTATAGCACCTCTCTCACACAAAACAGGTCGGAAGCAAGTATTTCTCTGCTGTTCTCAAATTAATGTTGTGCAAACAGCAGCATGAGAATCTGTCCCTAAGCCATTCACTGGCTCTCAGCTAAAACTGTATTCTGTCACCTTTAATCTTCTCCCTCCCACATATATAACCCTGCCTTCATCCCCCTGTCCAATTTTCTTTTATTCTTTCCTTTTCTCATCCCTTTCCCCTGTTCCTTTGCATCTCTTCCACCATTCTTCTGCTGCACTTTGCTTTCGGTCTTTCTCTAGGTAAGCTTCTGTTTTTGTGCAGCAAGAGCTTTAGTAGCCCAGGTCCACACTTGCATGTCATCTAGTCTCACAAGACCTTGATTAGTACCCCACTCATCCAAACATGGGTTCTCTCTACCTCACTATTGCACCTGGTCCTGGTCAAAGTCCTGTATAGATATGGCTGTAAGACTCTCCCACAGCTATATTTTTGAGACCACCATTTTCTCAAAAAACCTCTCTTCTATATGGACCAGTTGCAGTATTCCTCCTCTCATTAGGAGAGAAGTTAACTGGCTGCCTTGAAAGCATTGACTAGTGCTGCCATCAGTAGCATGCACCAGTGTATCCTTCAATGGGCACCAGGGGGTTACTAACTGAAACTCCAAGACAAAGCACATACAGCTGGTCTCCACTACACAGCACCACTATCCAACCATTGAGCAATACCAAAAATAGATAATTGCTAGAAGACTTAACACTTTAAACATAAACAGTGTCCAAGAACAGGATGGCTACTTTACCTGGTCTTTCATGGTCTTCCCTAAATCTTTAACATCTTTCATGTTAATAGCGTTCTTCCCTCCCTTTTCCTTTCCCTTCTTCTTGTTCTTCTTTTTGAACAAGCATTTCTTACAGAGACAAAAGCAGCAGGTAAGGATTAATAGGACTGCAACTATGGCTATGGCTATTAAGGCCCAAGGTGGCACTGGAAGAGAAAAAGAAACACACACAAAGTGGCACACTGTTAGTAAATTTAAATGTAAAAACCAACAGATTTCATTTGTAGCCAAACCTTTTATCAACCTTTGAGCAAGTATCTAAAAATACTGTGTTGAATTTGTATATTTCCCTCAATTGAATATTTACACAAAGAACATTAATATAACAAAGCAAGCATGATCTATCTACATACTTGGAAATAAACAACAAAGAATGTAACTTGCAGTTTAGATTAATCAGCAGGAATTATTTGATTTGTCTAATGTACTCACAAGGTACGCATGTAGCAAAAATTTAAAAACCATCTTTAAAACGTTAATCATGTTTAGAGGAAATTGTTTACTTCTCTCTGTATAATCATTCTTGTAACCCACCTGGCATTATGGCCTGATAAACCAACCTAGCTTGAAGTCATGTGGCTCTGACTGGGGACTTGCCTCCAACAGAGCCTAGGTAAAGAAGTGCCTCTGATCCACACAGTCAATTTTAATGAGCAGCATTTCTCCACTGTTTTATTTGACAGACTAGTGGACTACTCATAGATGCAGGTCAAGGTTACCAGTAAACAATGACCAAGGTCAGAGGACTGTTCAATCAGGCATCTATGCTGATAACCATCAAGTCCTTCTGATATTGGCAATGTTTCAGTGTACATCTATGTTTTCATTGAAGTCTTATAAAGAAAAACATGTCTGTTTATTTTATTGATTCAGTCCAAGCTTCTAGACACTGTTGTAATACAAACAAATAATACATAATAATAATAATAATGATGATGAATTGGTCTTGCAAAAAATCAAGAGAATGATGAGAATTATCTTCACATAAGTAAACTTTAATATGACCTCTTCTGATTACCACACTTTTCATTCACATACGTGACAAAAATACATAATGTGATAACCAATGGGGTTTTAAAGAGGAGAATCATTTGTGTGTCTTGAAATGTATTCGGCCTATCAGATCTGCAAGGTATTCTCTCAACTCAACACATAAAAATCTCTAAAATTACACAGGGCACAACAAAAGCGGTAACCGAATTTGACAAATTTACATCAGTGAATCACAAAAGGAAAGCTGACAGTGAAAATACAGAAAAATTAATTGCTTAAAGCAGCCAAGTAGAGTGGAAAGCATGATTACTGGAAGTTGAACTAGAGACTGCCACTTCAAAAGGAAATTAAAGTTTTAGTGAGCAGCTTCCTTATTTGTACTTTTTATTTTTCACACTGCTTTACTGATAGATATAAAAAAAGACTGTAGGAGACACGTTTGGAATAGTTAAATAATAAATTCCATAACACTTTATGTGCCTCCAAATGTTCATTTAATGTAGTTGCCATAAAAGAGATGTTGTACGGGACGTAGAATAAATATGAACTGATTATCAAAGAAATGAATGTTAACAGATACAGTGAGCAGATTAGCAGCTGTTTAACAGAAATATTTTATGGACGTGGCAGTAGCAATTCCATAGTTAAGACTGCATTGAGATCTGCATTTATTGCAAGACTAAAATCTCCATTTCATGCTTTACATTTTGAATTTTGTTTTCAAATTTCAGCACAATATTTTAGAGGGAAATTGACTTTTCTATGTCATTTATTTTTTTGTAAAGCATTTACTAACTCTTCCAAAAGAAACCATTTAAAAATGCGTCTTTTGGGAAATTTTACCTTATTTTCCTCATGTTTCATTGGGTTCCTCTGTTATTAGCCCCCCCACCGCACCAACCACAGTCCTCATACATTCCAAACATCACATGTAAACACAGTCTACAACAGAGGTGCAGGCCACTTTTAACATCTGAAATTAAACACAAAGTGCTAGTCTCCTTACTCAGTATCATCTAAATTGAGTTATGCCAAGATTAACCAAAGGAATTGCTCAGATCCAGCAGCTATTTCTGTTTTCCAGTGCTGCCAACCCGCTCCACCAGCTGTGCATTGCCCATACTTCCAGAGATGTGGGGAGGCAGGCTGGCAACAGGAGGCATGAAGATGGACTCCAGAAGAAAGAGGGGACTCTGTGGCGGGGGAGCCATGGGAGGAAAGGGAGGATATGGAGAGGCAAACAGAATATACCCAGGGTGGGGGACACAAGGGATTGAGACTTGAGGTGGGCAGGATGGGGGTTAGCCTGGATGTGCATGTTGCATGGGAAGAAAGACAATATGAGAGGAAGGTGTCTGGGGCAGTCAGGTGCCTCCATGCTGAAACCATGTTGAATGAAGGGGCCCTCTGGCACTGCAGCCCAGAGTAATGAGGCAGCAGCACCATGGGGAGTTCTTCAAGCACTGCTGCCTTGACACACAGACCCTCAGCTCCTTTGTTAAACTGTTTACTGTTTATTTTAATCCAGTTGTAATTAATTGCAGACAATAACTCTTGTTATAATTAAATCACGAACAAATGACTATGATGCTCAAAGTGATATAGAATTTTTAATTGATCTCTTCAAAGAAGACACTCCCCAGTTCTTTTTGTTAAAGCAAATACAGGTATAAAGGAAGGAAGCTTTTAAGGCTGTCCAGGCTCTGGAGACTTTCAAAAAGGCTTCAACAGCCAAAGCTTCAGGAAAAGAAAGGAAAACACCCCAAACCAGACAGACTGTAAAGAATATTTTCTTCTATCTGAGTGCACAATCTCTGTTAAGAAGATTGCTCATCACAATACTGCTACTGGCAGAGAGCACTCAGCCTTGTATTACTGGCGCTGAATGTACAAATGAGGTTTAACGTAAGTAAAATTTCAACTGTATAGGTTTTGAAACAGAACCAGGTGTTTGTTTTCAAAATGTTTCATAGAAATTTTATTTAAAACTTTCTGAATTGAATGAATCATGCTCTATGATAAAGCCAAGATTTTCAAAGGAGACTAGTGATTTTGAGTGCTTCCATTTTTTGTGTGCCCCAACTTCTGATACCTTAAAGGGGTAAAGGGGCTTGATTTTCAGAAAGAGCTGAGCCTCTGAAAATCAGGCTCCTTTAAGATGTCTCAAGTTGGCACTCTAAATCACTCGTCACTTTTGCAAATGTATGCCTATGGCCGTTAATTTTCTGACATACCGAATATGAAGAATGAGGGAGATATCTGTATTAATTTTATGAAGTTTATAATCTGTAGATTTGGTAGTTATTGTGTGGTGGCTGGCTTTATGGAACCCTAAAGGTTAATTCCAGCTGGAGTCTGGCAAAGACTCTAATTCAATGGACAATACATTGCTGGAAGGCGATCTCAGACTCCCTCTGAAGAAATGTGTGACCAGATTCAGGCGTGCTGCTCAAAGCCCCAGGAGATCTAGGGGCAGGGACTCTTGAAAAAAATAATCATTGAATGGTTGAAAAGGATAAAAAGGCAGTCTGTGACTTGAGGGAGACACATTGACTGGTGGGTCAGACATCAGAAAGGCAGGAGCAGTAGGAAGTACAGCCTGTCTCGCCCAGCCCCAATGGTGTGTGTGCGTGCCTGAAACAAGCAGAAATAATATAATATATTGTTGCAAGGAAAGGCTAAAGTTTAAGTAAGATAACATGCATGTAGGCTTTTCATTGTTATCTTCCCTACCTGATATGTTCTTGTGGACAAATACCTAATACTTGTTTTGAAAAAGCTGTCCTGAATCACTGCAATTTCATACTTGTCACATGCTTTTGGAAAGAAGTCTATAACAGGGGCCAAACCCAGATGGACCCATTGAAGGTAGCATGGTTTGTCAACAGGATGCTGCAGCCTGGTGATCCAGTCTGAAGTGGGGTGAATCACGGGATTTGATGCAGAGAAGTTCAGGTGTAGGGCTGTCACTTGGAAAGGGTACCCATGGAGAGACAGAGGTCAAAGGTATAGCTCCCCCCGAAGAATAACACTGAACTAAAGAGATAAGCATCAGGACTGTATCATTAGCCAAGATATTTTAGGGACCATTTCTGTAGACCTCACTCAGGTTGAGCAGTCATGCGAGTAGTCCCACTGAATCCACCAAGTTCAAAAGGACAACTTATGTGAGTGAGCTGCAAAATGGGAAGAGTTGCAAAATTGCATCCTTTGTATAAAACTTCTTTTTTTTTTATTAGCTTTACAAAAAAATGCTTGGCAGGCAGCGATGGATCCAGCAGGGATGGATTTATCGTGTCTAGTCTAGACGCGATAAATCGACCCCCCCCCCCAAGCGCTGTCCCGTCGACTACTGTACTCCACCGCCGCGAGAGGCGCAGGCGGAGTCGACGTGGGAGTGGCAGCAGTCGACTCACCGTGGTAAAGACATCACAGTAAGTCAATCTAAGTACATCGACTTCAGCTATGTTATTCACGTAGCTGAAGTTGCATAACATAGATCGATCCCCCTGCTTCCCCTCCCCCAGTGTAGACCAGGGCTGACATTCCAGCGAGACAATCTAAAACTATTAAATGCCAGGGAGGACAATTGATCCCAGAGAAAGAGGCAACATGAGGGAAGAAGAAAGCTGCATATCAGCATCAAAGTACTAATGTTGGTGTACACTGCATAGATAGAGTTCCTCCTACTAAACAACTCAAAAATGCTTTAATAAATGTGAATATCTATAATAGCTTGTTTGGAAAGCTTCAACACTGATTTTGACAGGTTCTAATTCAGGGCATGCACCACTGGCTTTCAACGCTCCCCAGTTGAATGAATCTGTATTTTTATAAGAACATTTGCAATAACTGCGGCATCAGACTTGTCATAATTCTCAGACATGTATTACCCTCCTGGTGTTGGGTAACTTACAGACAACTACAAGGTGACCAGAAGTCCAATTAGTTTTATGTTTTGAACTGTATCACCCTAACACAGACGTATGAATCTGCATATAGGAACAGAGCTTGATGACTAGTTTGCTCCAACTATAATGAATTATTTTGGAATAATCAAAAGAAAAGTAGTACTTAATTTAGCACATTAGTTGCTGCTACCTCAGTAGAGCAGAAGTTTTATGCTTGGGTTCGGTTTGTGAAATACTCATAT